TGGAAGGATCGCCGGAGCCCAGCAGGTCGAGGCTGCGGTGGCCGGGAGCGGCCACTGCACTCCAGTCTGGGCGACAGAGTGAGACTCCAACTCAAAAAAAAGAAAAAAACAACAAAACAAAACAAACAAAAAAAAACTCTTGCTACTAACTGCCAATCAAGAAACCTTTGAATCAACTTGTAATCTGCAGTCTCCACTTGAAGAGATTCTGTTTCCCGAGGCCAGAACTGATGTAAATTTCACATATATTGCTTTATGGCTTCTTGTAACTTCTGTCTTCCTAAAATGCATACAACCAAACAATTCAACCAGTGGACACATGTTCTCAGGACCTCCTGGGAGTGTCATGGGCCTAAGGTCACCCACATTCGGCTCAGAATAAATCATCTTAAATATTTTACAGAATTTGGCATTTTTCATCAGCAAATTGATGCCCAATGTGGAACCTTAGAGAAGACTCAAGGCACCTGAAGGAGCCACCTGAACCCAGAACTAAGGTACCAGCAGGGGCCTACTAAAGCTTACCAACTTTGAGCTTCTCCTTGGGTAGACCTGGCAAGCCCTACAAGGCCACAGACCCCTCATTGTAGCGGGTAGTCCTTTTGGCTTATTCTGAGCTGGCCTTTTTCTAGGAAACTGAGGATTCTAATTTTTATTTCAAAGGTGCATTCTAGGTCTTCTCCATTGCCTTTCTCCCCAAATTAATCTCAATGGGCTAAGAATGAGAAAAGATAGAGAGAACGACTCCCTTTGGGCAGCCCCATTGGTTCTTCGGTGCCTCTACTTGCAAGTATTTGCGTAGATGAAAAAGTCTGAGATCATGCCTGGTTTTCTAGTACTCTATCTGGCTACGTTTTATGGTGTGTTCCTTTAACATCAATGGGCAAATTATACCAAGAAAAATTTGGAGCAACTATAGAGCTTAAATACACAACCTCATAAGTTCCCTACTACCCTATTTTTCTTTTCCACCTGTTTTAAGTCTGCTGTTACTTTTCTACTGATGTTGAGGTAAAATCCACTGTTTGAATCCAATCCATTTTTTATAAACTGACAACTCTGTATTGCTAGCTAACGGCTGGAGCTCCAAATTAAAAGCCATAGGATTTTTACTTATTTATATGTATGTGACTATAATACATACAAGTTACAGGGAAGAAAACTCACAAACTTGTTTTGCTGGCAAAAGGGTAATAATTAATTGCTTACCAGCCAGACTCCTATCTTTTCTCTCTCTGTGCTCTTTGGTGAATGGAAGGTAAAAATCACTGTCTCATCTGTGAGATTTTAATTAATGGGAAAAAAGGATGCATGTGATTAGTCTTGGTATAGCAACACTAGTGTACTTTTGGTACTTTGTGGCATGAATATTCATATTGTTTGATCTCTTTTCCTCTCAGAAATTTGTTTTCATTTGTCTTTGTTTGTCTGTCATAAAGAAGGGTACCACAGGATAAGGTTTCCCTCTTGTCTTGTTTTGCGTCCTTGGAGCTTGACGTTGTGACCATGAGGGGATCGTCTCTCAGTCTCTGCCATCTGAGGGCGTGAATTTTTGGGCTCTTGTCAGACTGGGAATCTGAGACACACAGATGTTTAAGCAGCACACCCTTCGTTCCAAACATGTCAAACTCTTAGGGGAGTTTTGTCTTAAAGGGTACTATCCCTATAGGGCTTTTGTTGTCTTTTGCTATCCTAAATCTATTTCTGGGGATCATGGACATGGGGCTTGCCTTCTTTATGCCCTCTCCAGGAATACCTCTTGCTTACAAATTCATAGAAAATTACTACCTGGGCTTTAAAGAGGTTTTTTGGATTGAGTTGCTATTGAAACTAAGTGCACCACTGAAAATAAAGATTTTAGAGATTTCTGATTCTAAACAACTGATGGAAAGGTTAAATTAAAAGAAAGATGTAATAATGTCATGGCTAGCCTTAAGGATTCTCCTTTCTGGTTTGATTGTTTTTACCTCATGTATCTGTGATTTTTGCCATTTAAGGCACTTTGGAAGAAATCATTGGTAAAAACAAGAAAAAAGTTTAACAGCCAGAAATGAAGCAGCTGTTTGTCCCAGCTAAAACCTGGCAATAAGAGATATGAAGGAATTTTTTTTAGAGTGTTATGATGAAAAGTCAGCTTAAGCTGGGTGCAGTGGCTTGTGCCTGTAATCCCGGCACTTTAGGAAGGGAGGCAGGAGGATTGCTTGAGCCCAGGAGTTTGAGACCAGCCTGGGCAACATATTAGACTGCATCTCTACAAAAAAAATAAAAAATTAGCCTGGCATGGTGGCGCACCTGTAGCTCTAGCTACTTGGTAGGCTGAGGCAGGAAGATTGCTTGAGCCCAGGTGTTCAAGGCTGTGGTAAGCCATGATCGTGCCACTG